TGTTCCTGGAGGGCCACTGCCCTCAGAGTTTAGCTCCAACCCTAATTAAACACACCTGAATAAGCTAATCAAGCTCTTTAGACCCACTGGAAACTTCCAGGCAAGTGTGTTGGAGCTGTTTGGAGTGAAACTCTGCAGGACGTTGGACCTCCAGGACCAGCATTGGACACCCCTGGCCTAAGTAGATTGTAGAAGCCATTAGCATCAATGGTCTCTAAAATCTATGTATGCTTATGATGCTTTTGGGGAATGCAGCCATGTTCAATACGTGAGCCCAACAGAGGGCTCACTCTTTGATTGTATTGCAGAATTATGTTGAGTCTAAGACCTTTTCCTATCTTGCAATGGCTACTAAAAATAGAAGGTCCCTTTTTTATATTACAAAATTACACTGAGTCCTGAAACATTTTGTGTAATTGTAGGATGCCTACCTAAAACCAGGGGACCATTCTTCCAATATATCACAATTGCGTTGGGGTCCACCAACCCTCAAGCAAGCCACCCATCTCCATCTCTGTCATCACCCCTCCTCCCCCCTCGCCGGTCTCCGTAGATTGAACAGTGAATGAGGATAAGTGTGAAGCAGCAGTCAATGAATCAAGCGGTCTGACCAGCAGCAGCCGGGGGGAAGAGAGAACGTGGAGCGGGCCCCCCCACAGGACTGGCCTCGCATTAGGAACTTCCTCGCCTGTGTATTTCTGCCACAGGTTAAATGGATCGTTCCCATTAGCTCGGTGAGGGGACAGCTCCATTACGTGAAGGAGACTCTAACTTTGAATGTCACGGAGTGCCGAACCCCAGCGCAGCACATCAAGCACCCTGCCAGAGAGGCCTCGCTGACAATAACCATCCATGATAATCATTTGCTGTCAGGCGCTAAGGAAGCTGAAATTATGATGCACAGCCAGCTAGACAGACCCAGGCACTTAGTGGAAATAGCAGTATTTTTTTAGTGATATCATATGCTATTTACACTAAGTGCAAATAGCTATAGATTCCATTTATACTATGATAAAAAAGCTGGATTTTCTGCTATTTATACTACTTATTGCAAATAGTGGCAATTATCTGCACCTCA